CTTTAATGTTTGAATAAGGTATCTCCATGATACGCGGTCAAAGGCCTTTTGGGCATCTAAAGATATTACAGCTGTCATAGCTTTTTTCTCTTTTTGGTGAGAGATAATATTTAATAAACGCCGTAAATTATTTCCATAATGCCTCCCAACAATGAATCCGGTTTGATCTGGATGTATAATTTTATTTATTATGACATTTAATCGTCTTGCCAGAATACCAGTTAGAATGCGTACGTCCACGTTAAGCATTGATACTGGCCTATATGACCCACAGTCAGTAGGGTCCTTACCTTCTTTATATAATACAACTATTGTGGCATCAGACCAAGATGGCGCCATTGTTTTAGTTTCTGAAGAAAAGCGATATGCTTCTTATAATAGTGGACTAGCGATGTCTATGAAACACTTATAGAATTCATTTATGAAACCATCAGGACCAGGACTTTTGTTATTTTTAAGGGAAGAGACAACATTTTTTATTTCTTCTTCTTGAATTGGCTGATCTAATTGTTTAGCTACAGTATCAGATAATTCTGAGATATTTATATTTTGTAAGTAGTCTGCTATTTTATTCTCATCATCACAAGTGTCCGTGTCTCGGTATAAAACCTTGTAAAATTCCGCAAATGTTTCAGCAATATCTTTTGGTTTTAAGATGGATTTATTGCCCGATTTCAGCTTTAAAACTACGTTTGAGGACTGTTGTTTTTTAAGTCGGAAGGCCAAAAGTCTGCTCGCTCTATTTCCATTTTCATAATACTACTGCTTGGCAAAACGAAGGTTACCTTCTATCTTTTCCGATAGCAAATCTTGGAGCTCTCTACGTGCAGTGTTCAAATCATTCAGGATCCCGGATGCTCTAGTCTTTTTATGGTGAAGATCCAGATCTTGGATTCTATCTTCTAAGTATTTCTGTTTGGCTGCCTTTTGTCTTTTTTTTGCTGTTGTATAGGAGATGATACTACCTCTTAAATAAGCCTTTGCACAGTCCCACAACATAATAGGAGATGTTTCAGGGGTATTGTTTATGTCCAAATAATTTTTGAGATCTAATTTAACAAAATTTATGAATTCTTGGTCATTAAGAAGGGAGGTATTAAGTCTCCATTGCTTAAATGATGGTGTCAATCCTATATTCCACTTGAGGGTAACGGGTGCATGGTCAGAGATTGTGATGGGCGATATTATGATATCCTCAACTCTGTGTAGTTCGGCCTTGGTGGTAAAAAAGTAATCTATTCGTGAGTAAGATGCATGTCGATTTGAGTAAAATGTAAAATTTCTATTTTTTGGGAATTTGGATCGCCATACATCCACTAATCCGGCTTCCACAGACATATTTTTAAGCATTTTACCCATCTTAGATATGGGTGTCCGAGAGAGTGGTTGTCTATCTAGATTTGACATTACACAATTAAAATCCCCTCCGACGATCAGCAGACCAGAACTGTATTCTGCAATCATATTGAAAACTGACTGAATAAACCCTGGTACATCTTCGTTGGGGGCATATACATTTATAAAGGATACAGCTGTTCCATCAATTATCCCATTTACCAATATAAATCTACCCTCTTTGTCTTTATGTACCAACGTTTCAGTAAAAATTTTTTGCCTATGTATTAATATAGCAACACCCCTTTTTCTACCAGAGCAATGTGACGAGTAGTAAACTTTATCAGCCCAAGACTTATTTAATTTTATATGTTCCATATCTGATAGGTGTGTTTCTTGTAACAGTGCTATGTGACATTTTGATTGTCTGAGTTGCAACAAAACTTTTTTTCTTTTGATTGGACTATGCAAACCCCTCACGTTATAACTTGTTACAGTTAGTGTACTCATAATTAATTTAATTTAAAATATATATGTGATAGTATTGTATTGGAGGCAGAGACGGCCATTTGACTGGTGGGACCAAGCATTTGAATAACATGAACGCTGAAAACCAAGATGATGCAATAAAATAAAAGTAGTGAGGCTTTGCTGTACAAAATTGTCAAGACTAAGATTCAGAAGCTCTGTTTTTTTAAATGCACAAGATCCTCGGGGAACAGAGGGATCAAAACGCAGAAAACACAATTAAAAAAGTGCATAACTAACATAATGCAAAGTAGTGGGTTTAAGACCCTAGCCACTATAAAAGCAGCAACAAACACAACCGAAAGAGAGACGGATGTGTGCAAAAACAACAAAACAAGAGAGATCAAGAATGTGGAAGTCCAGGCTCCCGCAGGGGAAATAAATATATGTACTTTAACCACAGTGTAGAACCTACTGGTATTATGAATGTAACTAAATTATGACTAATTATGACTTTTTGGTATTTAACCAAGTTAGAAGTGACAGTGTTACACACCCTTTCAACATACCAGTTTAGAAATGTGACATTACCAAACACAGTCACAGTTGGTATTTAAGCAGTTTCAGATCCAGTTATTGCAGCAGGGATGGTCTTCCATATGTAGTCCATGGCCTTAACAGGATCTTGAAACTCCTTACTGTCCTCTTTGTATGTTATTTTGAGTCTTGCTGGATAAAGTAATCCAAAGCGCACATCGCTTCGCCCCCGTAATACTTTCCGTGCATCGGAGAAGGCTGCGCGTGCTTTGGCCACACTGGTGGTGTAATCCGGGAAGATTGCGATTCTTTTACCCTGGTAGGTCAGCGGGGCCTTGTCCCTGGCTCTTCTCAGGATGTCAGCGGCGTCTCCATCATAGTGCAGCTTAGCGATGATCACACGGGGTCTTTCTCCGCCGCCCGGTTTCGTCAGAGCAGCTGTTCGGTGTGAGCGATCGACTTTTACATCCCGGTCCATCTGAAGCGCTTCTCTAATAATTTTTGAGACCTCCTTAGGATTGGCGGAGTTGGGATATTCCTCGACCCCAACAATACGAATATTTCCGCGCCTCATCCTCCCCTCCATGTCTTCGCACTTGTCTCGTATCTTAACCAGCTCGCTTTGAAGGTCGGTAACTATAGTCTGCAGTGAGTTCACCTCATCAGACCATGTAGACAGTCCACTTTTCACATCTTCAACGTCTGATTTAATTGAGGTGATTTCTGCACGGGTGGCGGTGGAATTACTAGCAATTTCGGCCCTCACTGCATTGAGATAAGCTCTGAGAGCGGGGAACTCCTCAGACAGAGCGCTTCTCATTTCCTCCCTTATGATTTTGGAGATTTCCCCCCGTAAGGAAGTTACGATATCGGCTTTCAGCTCTTCACACATACCAGGGCTCTTGGGTTGCGGGTTTACGTCCTCTAGAGTGCGCAGCTTCGTGGATCTGGTGTTAGCAGTTAGCTTTGCCGTGCTACCGTCGTATTTGAATTTGCGAAGTTTATCCGCCATTTATCGAGTAGCGTCCACCGGAACGGAATTCTTTATAGTCCAGGGCCACTATTAAACCAATTTAGGTCACAATTAGTGAGAAGTTGTGGTTTTTTAAACGAAAATGTTGATATGCCTGCAGGAGCTCTGAAATATCCGACTTTACTCCATCTTGGCTCACTGGCGCCCCCATTCAAACTGCTTTTAAGGGTATGATCACCAGAACTCCCCAATTTTCAGGGACAGTTATTGTGGATCAACTGTCCCTGGCTAAATCTGTCACTGATTTTACTGTTTTGTGAAAGAAGGGGAAAATGTTTGTGTTGGAAGAGCGAGTGAGCATATTGCACATGGACACAGCTGTTACAGCAGCTGGTTTCTTTGCTGTTAAGGTAAAAATGGGGAACAGAGCGCACCACTTTTAAAAAAGAAGAAATTTATTTTTGTTTTACGCATTTGTAAATAAAATGACAAATAAATCTGTCTAAGTCTAACACTAAGAAGTTCTTTTTCACAACCTGTCGCAACTGATGGGGAACCACCTTAACCTGACTCCGCCAGATGGATTTGCTCCGCATATCCATCTGGAAACCTTCCGTAGAAGTAATTTTGGGAAGGGGCGAAAATACTGGTTAGCTGATTGGCCTATGTTGGTGATAGACGGGCCAAATAAACCAATCAGATCAACGAAGTATTTGACGTACTAACAGAGCGACGACGAAAACACAACCACAAGCCAGGCTACTCTTGCCGAAACCAGTCGGGAGAAGAGCAAAAACATCTTTTCCTCTGAGAAAAGCCTCCAGAGCAGTGTTTTGCTCTTCTTTCAGTGAAGAAATACTCTGTAATTCCGATAAAACTTGCTCGATAGCCACGCTAACGCTAGTTTCATCGGCTAAAGCCGCCATGTTCTTTAGACTGAACTGTCGCGCTTCTCGTTGCGTCATACCTCAACCCGCCTCAAAGCCAACGCTGATTGGACGTTCGTTTGGGGAAAGGCTCCAAATTTTCTTTAACGGAGGGTCTCCAGACTGATCTGCGAGTGAAACCTTGAAAGCTCGCGAGATCAGGATGGTCTCACGAGGCTAGAACCCCCTATGGTAAGTGGGTCAATCGATTTTATTTGGAGTCGACAGATCCTTATGTTTGGTTGATGCTCAGGTTAAAACAAATAGGTAGACCTGAAATGTAACATAAACCAAGCTAATCAACAAAAAGTAAAACAAGACCATTGGTTACAGCTGGCATGAGTAAAAGAGAAGGAAATGAAATGAAACAGAATGATTGAAAACTCCTGAAAGGCGCTAATCAACAAGGGTTTTAATTAGTGACCTTTAGTTTATGTTTTCTGATAGATAGTCATTATAAGTAGAGTTATTATAATGTAGGGTGACCAAACGTCCGTATTTCCCGGGACATATCCGTATTTCACGTCCTGTCCAGGGCGTCCCGGGTTTTTTTTAGAAAGTGAGGAAATGTCCTGATTTCACTGCGCACGACGCTCCGTGTGACGTAATCCCTGAGCCGCGTCAGTGCGGGCAGCCCGAGAAGGACCTCGCTGCAGCAAACAGAAAGGGGCGGGGACAGACCTTTCCGTCAGTCCCATACCTTATTTGGAAATGGGACTATTGCATTCCGGAAATGAAGGGGGCGCTATTTTCATAATCACTAGTATAAATGCCTTAAAGATGCGGGGTTAAGAGGAAAGGAAGAAGAAAGAAAGAAGTTTGAAAAGTTTTTGCACTGGTGTTCGGCACACGATCCATAATGCAAAACCCACAAAATCAACAAAAGGTAATTTTACCTTCTTAAAATTTGTTTCACATAGTAAATTAATACGCTTTTCTAGATTCAGTTTTTTAAGAAAACCTTCAATTTGTCCTTTTTAAAAGGTCCAGAGAAGAACTACAAAAGGAGAGAAAGCGGAAAAAAGTTGATGAGAGGGCAAAATGTGAGGTAAGCTGTAGCTAAAATTCATCACTTTGTTGTTTTAAGTCATAGAATTTGTATTATGTCCATTCACAGTGTACTTTTGTTCTATGCTTATTTTTTTAAGTCTGAAAGAAAATCAGGATAGAAGAATTAAAAGGGTTGAATCAGTTTTGATGTTATTTGGACTTGCATTCATCTTTCACTTAGAACATATCTGTATTTTTACAGACTCTGTGTGCTGATGACCACACCTATGCCAAAGGAGCCGAGGCACAAATCAAGGTTAATTTTTAAATTTACACATAACTAGTAATTTTGATTTGTGTATCTTTATGTGCAAATGAGACTAAAACCCTAAATGATTTTTTTCAAATTAAAATTCATTATTTGGACAACTTTTTTTATATCATTAGAGATGAAAGGATAAGATACTGAGAGATATAAAGTATTAATTATTGTTTAATGCTCTTCACCATGCAGGTAGAAAGGATACCGCCAATCTTACAGGTAGGATTCATTCATAATCATATGTATCATCCATTCTTCCTGTATGACAGTCTTGCAATGCACCTGTTTTTTATTTTGTTTTTGTTTTTTTTTTCAGATGCAGAGGAGAGGAGAGTACCCTCGTTACTACTGTGATGGCATACCTGGACTTTGCCCTGAGTGCCAACATTGAATTAAAATAAAATAAAAGTTGCTTTCCACAATCTGTCACATATTGTTAGTTTTTTTGTGACATGCCATTTGAAATCGTTTCTGATAAAGAATATTTACCTTTTGACTTGTGCAGTCCTCCTTTTTCATAATGTGTTCTTTCAATATTATTTACATTTTTTAAAGTTTCTTTTGTTGTAGCTCAGTTGATTTACATCATTTAGTTTTCATAGAAATGGTGTCGTTTCCACAAAGTTACATTGTGGCTGTAATTTGTTGGAGAGACAGTAGAACCAATAAAGTAGTTGTAAATATATTGTAACAGCGTTGTTTAACAATTGGAAAATCTTGTTGGAAAATTTTAAATGCAAGCAAAGCTAATAACTTGCAATATACAATGTTTCCTATACATTTTTGAACAATGACTGGAATCAATACAAACTTTCTTTACAAACCTGACATACAGACAAGTTGTTTATGTTTTAACAGTTAGAATCAACTTGTTTTATGTAATGAAAAATAAGTTGCAGAAACATATTGTTCAGATACAAACATAAGATTAAACGAGCAAAACGAAGGTGTAATCAGGGTGGAGGTGATGGAAGCTCAGGTGAGGAGCAGTTGCACACATCAAGCTGGACTTTATGAAGGGTGAAGGACTTGAGACCGGCGCCGTTAGGCTGGGAGGGAGGCACCTGAGCAGGTGATTGGCTGAGCAGGTGAGATGAAGACAGACTTTATTCAAAAAGGTTTTCATGTAGAAAAAAGATCATTCTCTCTGGTGGTTACCAGTACAGTGTCTACTGCCGGGATCAGAAAGTTGAAGATTATTGTCAAATGAACTTTCTAAAACCTACTTTCTGTGCGAGTCTTTCCAGGTTGAAGCTACATTTAAGGTTTTAATTAATCACTTTGGGTTTTCCTACAATTGGATATTCATGTTTTTGGAGTGCAGTTCATGAATTTATTGCAATTGATAAAATTAATATGGTATTTCTAAATGGAATAGTGGGACACCAGTCAGTTTACTAGTTGAGCTGGAGTCCTTATAGGAGACATTATGGTCAATAATGATAATAATTGAGCCAGGTCACCTGCAACCAAGTATATTCTAGTTAACGAAAGGCACTTGTTAAAAGTTCAAAAGTCCTTTGGTTTGTTTGTAAATTATATTCACAATGAGAATAATAAGAAAAAATATTTGGCAAATAAACAACAAAAGTGCACCGTGAATGGACGTACTAAGTTGGCCAAAATTGTCGACTAAATGTTTTACAGACCAAACCTCTTTTCCATCTAGTTCTTATTAAATAAGCCAAAGGCTATTATATTTTAGATTTTAACTTATTTATTTTAAGAGTACCGTTCACAACATCAAAATATATTATTTGAACTTCAGCACCAGCATGTATTTGTTTATATCTGTTTTCTTAATCAGCGATGGACTGGGGATCTGTCCAGGGTCAGTAGCCTTCATGACCCCACTTGAGGATAATTCATAAACATTAATGGATGGATAAATGTGCTCTTAATGTAATGTACATTTGTCTCCAAAATATTGATTTTATTTCTCCATAATGATTCCTTATTGTTGCTTATTTTAGATTGTTTGTTACTAATATAATTTTAAATAAAGATTTCAAAATAAAAAAAGGACATACCACGTGACAGACATACCACGTGACATATCACGTTTTGTAGCCATTTCTTTACTGTTTAATTAGTATTTTTAATGTTGAAAGTGTTCTTGGGTGTTTTGAAAGGCGTTGTCAAATAAAATACGTTATTATTATAATTATTATGAAACGGTCGGTACAGGAAATAGTGTCACTAGCGCCCCCGTCAGTTCCGGAATGAAATGGTCCCATTTCCATATAAGGTATGAGACTGACAGTGGTCCGTCCCCGCCCCTTTCTGTTTGCTGCAGCGAAGTGTACTTCGGCAGCCCTGCTCTTAATCAGAGGCTCTGTTCTGAAAACCTGGGCTGCATCCTCCAAGGACGCGGTCTACCTAGACTGGATCCTTCGAAGTCCTTGAAAATAAGGAGGCCAGAAGAGTTTTGTCTGTAAATTCGAACAGGTCCACCCTTCGACGGGTTTTACCGGCGTATTCTCTGTTGCTTAGCAACCGTGAACGTTGACACACAAAGCAGGAAAGGAATGAATACCGAGGTTTTCAAAACTGTTTGTTTATTTATTTATTTAAAAAAAAGTTAAAGCGAACAAAGACTACACTCACAAGAATCCAGAGTGGAATAAAGGTTCCAACCACCGGGAGCAGGAACAAATCAAATCAAATGTAATGATAGAAACCTTAGTCAGTTAAATAACCTGCTGCTGTCATTCTGCACATCTCTGATGTTGCTGCTATTTTCAAATATCCAATACTGTAAAAATGTCCATAGCTGCATATTGGTTATTTATTCTCCAGTTTTATATTGTTAAAACACTTTACAGTATTTTATTGTTTATATTTTAACTCTTCCCTATTATGTTATTCTTATAAATTTTTCTAAGGTCCACATTTGTGAGACCATTTTCAATAATCTTTCTGCTGCTGTAAATTTGCCCATTGTGGGAAAATAAAGGGATTTTCTATACTATAAAAGGGTTAGAAATACATAAGTAAATCTAAACAATGTATGTATAAAAATATATCTGCAAAATCTCTAATATTCAACAACAAAAAATACTTAGTTAAGCATATTGTGCAAAACAACAACAGAAAAATTAAACTCCTATCAGATTTATAGTTCCCACTCTGCAGATCTCTTAGAATCTGTCCTTAAATTCCAGCCAAACTCATTTACACAGTAACAGATAAAAACCTTTAGATAAATCAAACATTACCGCCACATATCTGACTCAATAACCATTAAAACAACTATTTTCATTCATTTCAGACGGAACTATTCACAGAGTTGTATTATATTAAACTGAAGTTCCAAATTTAACCACTGTTCTGCGGCAAGTAACATTTCCTCTGATCACGGAGCAAATCCCGATGATGAGACAATGGAACAAGACAATTTACACTTAAAATAAGAAAACACAATTGCATTGTCTTATTTGAATTGCATATTATCTAATTATCTTATTTTAAGAGTAAAATGACTAATTCCATTGGCAAACTATCTCATTTACCTACTCAAATTAAGGGTGAATACACTCAAATAAGGAAATTTTTACTTATTTCTAGATCGTTTTAGCAGTGTAGGTATTTAATCAGGTTACATAATAATAATAATATGTATGATGGGATGATACCAGAATAACCACAGTATCTAATCTAAAAATAACCAACTTCAAATTGGTATGTGAAACAAAAATTCTGTTTTAATTATTAAATTGTAAATTTTCACGTCGTACATCTAATGTTTTTGGAAGGGACTCGGATTATATTATGTCTCGGTTTTAGAAACAGCCAGACAAACCTGGATTAATCAACTGTCGAGTAATGAACGACAGGAAACAAAGGTGTTGGCTGAAGTTCAGGAAGAAGTGGAGCAGTGCATAGAGCCCATTAGCGGGAGAAATTAATCTGCACCTTTGAGATGCACAGCCTCCTGCATGCTGTCAGTTGTCAGTTGATAGTAATAAACATCCTTTACCTGCAGGTTTGACCACTACTTGTTTTTTATCCATATGTAGAAAAACCTTACACACATAGATATGAACTTTGGAAGTAAATCTGTGTCGCTGGGATTTGAATTAAAAATGCCACTGAAATTTAAATGTTGTATGTTATGTTTTCTTAGTCATTAGACGTGACGCTTGTGGTGCCTTCATACGGAAGGAAAACCAGCATCATGGACCCGGTCATGCAAGCTAACGCTAACTCAACTACAGAAAAATGAAAGTAATAAACTGACCGTTGAGTTAGCGTTAGCTTGCATGACCGCGTCCATGATGCTGGTTTTCCTTCTGTATGAGCGCCACACGTGTCACGTCATGTGACTAAGACAACGTAACGGGATTGGCTGGGTGTTGGACACCACTATCCATTGCTAATGTCTGTGACCTGAAGTAACCCTTCCCTTTTTACACTGAATTTAGACGCCGAATTTAAGACAGTGAAATAGAGCCAGTTGAATCTCAGGAGGCTGAAAATATTGAGTTTGAATTTTGAAAGGTTGAATTTTTTTTATATGCAGATTTTTTTTAACACTGAAAATTTTAACTGAAAAATAAGTATTGAAAATGTAATCACTTTGAAATAGTAATGTGAATTTTTAGCTTGAAGAGAAAATAACAAATGAAATTTCAACTGTGTAGAAATAATGACAAGGATTTTTTTTTTAGGTCAAAAATGTGTTCTGAATATATTTTATTCTATTTTATTAAACTGAAACAGTAAGTACAAACATACAACATTTAAATTTCAGTAGCATTTTTAATTCAAATCCCAGTGACACAGATTTACTTCCATAATGAACAGAATGAGTATTTGTTGTACTTTTTCGGAGGTGGGGGAACCCTGTCTCCACAGACCGCTACAGGCAAAAGCGTTGGATAAATGTCCCCACTAGGGGAAGGCAGAGCTATTTATGCCCCACACAATTGGAAAGCCTTTCACCCTGTTCTCTCCCATCCCTTTCCCCCAACCAAGAAACAC